GGGAATCACACTCTTCCTCGGCTCCTTTCCCTCTGCATATCCTGCTGCCCTACGGCCGCACAGGTCTCCCGGGGAATCTCTACCTCAGTGAGTCCTGCTCCCAGGGTCGGGCCCCTGTGGGATCTAAGTCACCAAGGAAGACTCCCCGCTGGAGCCAGAGCTGGGCTGAATGGTGCCTGGGAGTAGAACAACAAGCAGAGAAAGAGCACGCCCGGAGGAAGGGCCACAGGTGTGAGCACTCTAGGGAGGACAGTGTTTAAGGAACAGAGAAACCTGGTGGGAGCCACTGTGGCCGGAGTCCAGAGGCCTTCAGGGGTGGGTGACGTGGGCTGAGGCCCGGGGTGTCGGCGGGGCCGCAAGGACTTGGAAGGTGCAGCTCACAGAATCGGGTCTTCACGTAAGAGCAACGGGAAGCCACAGGAGCAGGTATGAGACATGATCCGGTTTGGGTTTTGAAAAGACCAATAAGGCGAGTGAGCAAAGAACTGAGGGGAGAATCCCTGGAGATGAGCTGGGAGTCCCTGCAGCTGGGCAGGCGGGAGAGGTTAGTGCCACAACCAGCCTGAAGGTGGGGGCAGGGTGGAGACAGAAGTAAATGGACTTGAAAAATATTTAAGCAGCCAAAAAATGGAAAGTTATTTTCCTATTCCAATAATCATCTTTTGGTCAAAACTGTTATTGAAGCCTGTATTTACGTAAGGGTAGATTTCATGATACAGGGCTTGTAACGTAGCCACATGAGAAAAATTTCTACTAGTAAGCCAAAGTTCAGACTTTTTATTTGTTGTAACAATTGCAATGAAGAGGAAAAATCTCTCAAGTATTTAAAAATTTAAAAACTTTATTCTTTCATAGAATTCTTAAGATATATAGATGAAATCTGACAATACACGTGAATTTATAATTCTAAAAATTTCACAGCAGAAAGTATATACCTATTTTAGAGATATGTACATATCTATTAAAATATAAAGATATAAATGTATACTCCTGAAACATTCTAAAAATATAACCCAAAAAGGGAAATCTTTATCAAATATATAGAAATATACATAGGGTTTTAGGAAAAGTGATAGTAAAAATATGCAAAAATAGACCATATGTAAACACAATTTTCAAGTTTTACAAGTATTGTGTAAATCTCTATGCATTTATGAAATCATATTTTCCAATAAAATCACATAGCAAATGTTACATAATTGATCTCTGACATTTGCATGATTTACTACTGTGGTCCTCAATCCCTGGGCCACCCTCGGACTGGAGAACAGGCCGCCCAGCAGGAGGTGAGCAGAGAAACTTCATCTGTATTCACAGCCGCTCCCATTGCTGCATCACCACATGAGCAGTGGCATTAGATTCTCGCAGGAGCACGAACCCTACTGTAAACTGCGCATGTGAAGGGTCTGGGTTGCAGGCTCCTTATGAGAACCTAATGCCTGATGATCTGGGGGGGGGGGCTGAGGCGGTAATGCTAGCCTGGGGAGCGGCTGCAAATACAGATTATCGTTAGCAGAGAGGTTTGCACAATACATGTAATGCACTTGAATCATCTTGAAACCACCCTCCCCCCACTGCCCATGGAAAAACTGTCTTCCATGAAACTCATCCCTGGTGCCAGAAAGGTGGGGACCCCTGCTTTACTATTTACCTATGCAATAGCTGGGACAATTAAAACATAGGAAGTCATTTTCTTAAAGTCATGCTGAATATTTTTAAGCTGTGACTGAACTTCGTAACATTGTCCTGCACCACAGATCCTAAATCAGGTACCATATATATTAAAGAAAATGACCGAAGCAAATTGCTATAGAACACACACATGCGCGTGCATGCCTGTGCCGGCACACACACACGCAATTTAAAAACTGTTCATTCATTCTCATTCCAATGCCGCAGAGGAAATGCATCAATGAAATAAAGAATTTCAGAGTCCTTTGACAAAATGATGCCACAGTGAATCATTAAGGTATTCTAACATAAGAGGTTCCTACTTCATGAAAGCCCTATTTAAAATAGAGGTATGCTCTAATTTCCTAATATTGTTTCCATTTCAATGCAGTGAAAATGCAGTTTCATGGAGTCTTGATAACTTTAACCATTATTTAGACTTGCTTACATTATTAAGCAGGCATTTCCCCAAGTAGTCCATTAAATAGAGTTGCAATAAATGGATATTGTCAGTGTTACTCCCAGCCCTTGACAATTAGACATATTAGGCCTTTTATTGGGAAATGTAAACTTACTCTTGAGAATGAGAGACTCAAACGGTGAATTTGGTAGAGCAGGAGCTGAAATGTTTAGTAAATGTTTACCTGATTAACCGACAAGTGCCCAGCCTCTCTTTCATGTCATGAAAGGTGCAAGAGAAAGCGGGTTTATGGGCAAGTCTGTGTGAGTGAAGGTGGTGTCAACAATGGTGAAGTGTAAACTAGCAGTATAACCTGTAGAGTGCTTGGCATTCCAACACTCAATCTGCTTCCCTGAGTTGGATAAGATCTTAACAAACATCATCATTTAGACAGACAGTACAGCTTCTGGAACAATGGTACACAAGAAAGAATGCAAACACCTGGGCCCAGATGTTCTTTATACGCTGTTGCATGCTGTAGTTTTTGAAGTTTGCTTTCCAGTAATGCAGAAGCCAGAAGCACCATTCTTGTAGGAGAGTAAAAATTGCTGCTCTTGGTCTTGGTGGAAAAAAAAAATCTGAAAAATAAAAGTACACCCCAATTATATATCAAAAAGTGTATTTAAGTAAGAAGAATTATTAGCAAAAAATAAATGCTAAAACTAAAATTGCCTTGGGCTCTTGCCAAAGGTGTGGTCTGTAGCAATAAACATGCATAAGACCAGGGTCTCACAATTAAGTTTGAATTCTTTCATCTACTTGATTCAACTCTGTTGGTTGAAATACTTAGAATTTGACAAATTTCCTAGTGGCGCCAGGCACTTGGGGAGGAATAATAAAGTATTCATTTGGGCCTGATTCAGAAATTTCATCTGTAACTGCATGTTTCCCTAAATAGTCCACCTATCAGAAAATGCCTCTTAACTTGCAGTTGGCAAATAGGAACTAGTTCCCAGAAAATTCTAGGAGGTGCTAATAAAAGGGCAGAATGATTAAGGCTGGGTTTAAATACTGACATCGTTCTAGAAGGCCATGCATTGCAAATGTCATATTTCTACTTCAGGGGATAATAGAAGTTTCTTAGGCTAACTTGATCACTTCAATAGCTTTGAATTTATTTTAATGTGTATTAGGAGAAAACTAGAATTACAAACTGTTCATTTCATTCAAGAAATTATCGCTCAGTACAAGGCTAAAGAATACTGGTAGGCCTGTGTTAATTTAAAGAAAATAATTCAGTAGTAATAAATAGTAGTCAGTATATTAATATGACAAAAGTTGTGAGGGGGACATGAGAAATCCTCTATTGTCAAAAAAGGTCTTGACCAGCACACTACAGAAAAAAATCTTCCGTTGTACCTAATACAGGCTGATAAATATGTACATTGACATTGTTACATGTTGCTACATATTACATACTGTAAACCAAGACCCTAGGGTCAAACACAGCCCACCACTTGTTTTTATAAAGTTTGTATTAGTATTAACATACAGCCTTCATGGGCAGAATGATGGCCCTTCATAAATGTCAATGCTCCATCCCTGGAACCCGTGACCATGTTCCCTTACATGGACAAAGGGGCTTTGCAGACGTGATTAATGTTACGGCCCTTGAGATGGGGAGATTATCCCGGATAATAGCTTGTCAGAGAGATGCAACAGAAGAAAGGAGAGATTCAAAGCACAAGAGAGACTCAACCATTGTTGATGCTTTGAGCTGGTGCCATAAACCAAGGCCCGTGGGCAAGCTCTAAAAGCAGGGAATGGCCTTCAGCTGACAGCAGCAATAAAATAAGGACCTCAGTCCTACAACCATAAAGAACTATTAAATTCTGTCAGCAACCTAGGTTAGCAAATTAGGGAATAGATTCTTTCCTGGAGCCTCCAGAAAGAAATGTGAGCCCAGCCAATGTTTTAATTTTAGCCTGGGAAGACCCGTGTCAGACATCTGACCTATGGGACTGTTAAGATGACAAATTTGTGTTGTTCAACCCACTAAGTTTTAGTCATTTGTTATGGCAGCAATAGAAAGCTAATATGATACCCCATCCATTCATTTACAAATTGTCTGTGGCTGCTTTGATGCTATAAGGCAGCATTAAGTGCATGTGACAGAGACCCTGTGGCCCAGAAAACCTAAAATACTTGCTCTTTAAAGAAAAAGTTTGTGAACCCTTGTTATTCACAGTCAAAAACCATTAACAGAAGCTAGCATCTACGGAACACTTAATTGAAGCAAGGCTCTGGAAAGAGTATTTGTTACTCATTTCAGTTTTCTGTGATGGATACTCTTTTGGTCCTCATTTTACAAATGAAAAAAAAAACAAAACCAAAAAGGAGGCAGAGAGGTTAGGTAACTGCTCAAGGTCACCCAGGGAGTGAGAGGTGAGCGGAGACTCGAACCCTAGTCTGGCTGACTTCGGAGTTCGGCTCACTCAGAGTACCCGGTCGTTCACGGCACCTTGCACAGGGTAAGCAACGCCCCCGGTGCTCACCTGGGGCGGCTCAGCGCTGGCGGAACGCGATGGGGAGCTCCCGGCTGGGCATCAGGATGCCCAAGTGCAGCATCTCCACGGGCTCGTTGTCTGTGGCCACGACGTCGTATTTGCGGACGATCTGGAACACCCATGCACAGAAAGGCAGAATTACTCCCCTCTTCTCCTCCCTTGTGAAACAACACAGAACACAACTGCAGAATCCAGGAAGGGTTTTACCCAACAGAGAGCCAGATGGAGCTGGAGCTCCGCTAACCGGCGACCAATGCACATTCTTTTCCCGATGCCAAACGGAAGGTGCGCGAAAGGATTAATCTTTTTCTTCTCCTGAAGCCAACGTTCGGGTCTAAACTGACTTGCATCTTCAAAGTTGTCTTCACTGGACCCCAATACCTTGGTATTTAGCATCAGCACTGTCTAAAAACACACAGAAACACAGAGCGTTTAAAACAACCAAAAGAGAACATGTGAATTGCAAAATTTACAAAAGTGATTGCCTTACAAATGTAAAAATAAGCCCCCCATAACATGCATCGAGTGGTTAAAATGTGCCGAGTAATAAATAGGTAAAGAACTTTAAAATCTTGCATCACGTTCCCACAACAACCCCATGTGGTAGAGTCTACTATTGACCCCATTTTACAGAGGAGGAAGCTGAGGCTCACAGGAGTTATGTTAACTCACTTAAGAGAACACAGATAAAGGTGAAATTGGATCCAGGTTTCTGTCTCCATAGCCATGATATCTAATACTATGCAATACGTCAACTATGCACTACCACGTGTGCATTTCCAAAATCAATGTTCTGGTAAACAGTTTAGGGAGATCCGGATGAATATTTGGAAAGATGATCTTTCAAAGTGTTATAAGGTATAAAATACGCAAATTCTACTTACCCCTTTGGGTAAAGCATATTCACCCAGAACCGTTGCCTTGTCCAGAGTCCGAGTTGTGAATGGCACACTTGGGGTGAGCCTGAGTAAACAAAACCAGAGATGTAAGGTGGGCACAGACCAAGTTCTGTCTGAAGTGTCCATGGGAGTGCAGGCTGGGCTAGATAAATAAGCGCTGCAAAATTCACACTCAGAAAGGGAACACGATCACAGCTCTTCCTAAAGGAGTTCTGCCCCTTTCTTCCTGATATTTATGTCTCTTGTTCCTTATTGTGTTAGTTAACCCCCCCAGGACAAGGCTGGTTAGCAGCTGCTAACGGCTTCCGAGCTACGTTTCTCCTGTCTACCCTTTGCGAAGTTAATGCTGTTTTCTTCTAATCCTAACATGTTTCGTTTTCCAGAAAGAGTGCAAAACGAATTTTCTAAGAGCATTTTATTCCAGAGGTTCAACAACAAAGATATTGCTATGTCCTATTATATAAGACTATGGTTCTCTTGCAGAACTTTCCTCTCCTGGTCTTCAATCATGCCCTGCTCTTAATCAGTGCTCGTAGCATTCATTACAAGACTAGCCTTATTGATTTAAAGGGGAGGACATTGAGTTTCTAAGATTTAATAGGATTTGCCCAAAATGATTTAGGAAATGAGTAATAGAAAAAGAATATAGCCCCAATGCTCTTTCTTTGCAGCTTGATAAATGTTTATAATTAACTGGGGAGCTGTCTACGAGGGGGGCAGACTTCGCTATCTATTTAAGAGAATTCATATTGGGCCAGACATATGTTTTTACCTCATAGATTCTTTCAGACAGGCTTTTAAATATGGCATGTTCTTCAAATCCTCTGCCCGTGGCATCTGATTCTCAGGCAAAACACTTTGAATTTCCTCAAGAAGCTTTTGTTGCACTTGGGGATTACGGGATAAATTGTAGAGAATCCACATTAAGCTGTTTGCTGTCTGAAAGCCAAAGGGAGACAAATTTGAGTTTTTGCAAATAAACTGCCTTAAACCGCTATCGGCTGAGCAAAAGGTGATGCCAACCACCCGGCTCTACAAATATATTAGTGACTGCTCTCTCACAGGTCCGTATGTGCTGCGCCTTAAACAAATCCAATATACAAAAGGTCAGATTTATTTTACAAAACATATCCGTTAAGGACAATTTATTTACCGAGGGAACCAAAATAGAATCTTTTAAGTGATCAGCTGCAGCAGGACACTTAAAATACACAGTTTGATACAATAATCGTTTGAACACAAATGAGTGCATGTAATACTGGTGAAATGAGAGTAAGATGGGTGGGTGACAGCAATGCCAGTTCCCAGGTCGTGACGATGTTCTCTTACAATGCAAGATGTCGCCAGTGGGGGAAAATTGGTGAAGGATACAAGGCATCCCTCCCTATTTTTTTCTTAGAACTCAGGTGAATCTACAACTATCTCAAAATAAAACCATTTAATTAAAAATCAATGTAAATATTGAGTCAAGAGACAGGAACAGAGATCGTTGGAGTATTGTTAACGAGAGGATTTAAAAATTTTTTTATAGTGCAAATGCATAAGAAACTGCATTTCCGGGATTTCAAAATTCTTTTGGCCACACTCTGAAAAGCTACCATAAAAATACAAAGGCGTTATCTGCATTCAGGGTTTCAGCCACAGGCAAAGAGCCGTCCTAGGAGGGTGCCGACACCAAAATAAGACATTCTAGCATCTAGTTGAGTGTTTCAAGGAACCGGCCACAGTTTCTGACCATGGCCTTTCAAATGGTATCCCTGATTTCCTTTCCAAAGGCAAAAGAAGAGAAAAAATATTGGCGGAACCAGCCAGTGTAGCTTTTAGCTACATAATATTCACCACTAGTAGGCATATGTATTTTTTTTTTTTTAGGCCTTTCTTAGCTCATTTAAACCAAATATTCCCTAAAAATGGTCATTGTGTCCGCCTTCTGCAGACACGAAGACGCTGTTGCCGAATGCTATGTGCCAGTCACACAAAGGGGCAAAGTGCAAGACCACTCGGAGCCAATGGTTATTTATTATTTTTGGAAGAAGATGACTCCAAGGCAGGTTTCCTCGTGTCAGAGGACTGGCAGCCTCAGCTGCAAATAAACTGTGGACAGCATTATTATAAGAGTCTAATTTACAAAACAGGAAGAGGGTGTAGCCACCAAATTAGATAGACTTTCACATTTCTCTGATTTTCCAAATGTGACTTTCAGAATAGCCAGGACTAAAAAAGAAACCGATTTAACCGTATCAGTGAGTTCCTCACCGCAAGTACCAAACAGGGTTTCCAAAAGGCAGATAACTGTAGCTTTCACCAAAGCCATGTAAGACAGTCTGGGCCTGTTAGGGAAACATCAGGGGCTGATTTGAGGGGAAGTGGCTTGGGAAACCTCAGGGGCACAGCCTATCCTGGCTTGACCTCCGGGGAAGAGACCGATCTCATTAACTGGTCTTCTGCATCCACTCTTCCTCTGCTAAGTCCAGTCTTCACCCACCAACCAGAGTCCACTTTTCAAAATATAAATTGATCATGGGACTCCCTTGCTTAAAATGCTGCAACAGCTTCTCATCACAGGTGTAAATAAATCCTAATGCCTTACCAAAGTTCACAAAGCCCTGGCAAATGTGGCCCATTCTGACCACATTTGCTAGTTCTCCAGCTCCATCCCTCTTTCTGCCCCAGGGCCTTTGCATGTGCTGTTTCCAATACCTAGAGATCTCTATTCCATCATCCTGATGGATTCCTCCATGGCCCATACCACTATCTGGAATAACCACATTGTTTGTTTACGTGTCTACTGTCTGCCTTCCCCACTAGCATGCAAGTTTCATGAGGATGAGGGGCCTTTGTCTCTGCTTCATGGTGGTCTCTCAAGAACCTGGAACAGTCCCTGGCACAGAGTAGGCACCCAATAGTTCCTTATTTCTTTCATTTGTTCAATAAGTATTTACTGACCACCTCTTTGCCGAGTACTGTTCTACATCCTGGGAATACAGTGGCAGACAAAACTAGGCCATTGCCCTCATAGAGCTCATGTTCCATTTGGAAAGAAAAGAATAATGGGTGAAGCTTTACTTTGATCACTCTAAGGAGCCTCTTGGGGTCAGTGATTCAACAGGGAAACGTCAGGGGCTGATTTGAATGGATTCCCACTTTTAACAGCCTTCTGGAGCACGAGGAGAAATGAGAAGGTTGTTATAGTCCCTGATGTAGAAAACCCTTTTTCCTTCGGACAAGAAATACTATGGAAGGAAGGAAACGTGGGGGAAAAAATGAACTTGTCCACACTCTGCTTAGAGGCTTTAAGGTGCAGGAACTGCTGGGCTGAGAGGACCGTGAGCAGGCGTCATGTCAATCGCAGCTCAGAAAAAGATCCGAGACATTTAAACCCACCTGAACGCGAGCGCCGGCGTTGGCGTGTGGAGTTTGGCTGTGCTGGGTATCACTTGGGGTACCAACCGCATCAGACACACAATTTTGGTATTCGAAATTAGCTGTTTCACTTACGTTAAAGTCAAGTTTTCCCCAACTCACTATGTTTACAATTTTAAGCAGCAAAAAGATTATTGGCTTGAAAAAGCATTTCAATTTTTTTTTTTTCAGCCACAATTAGCTACTTTGGGGTAACATGAGCAATGAATCAAAATTATCTCTGATTTTTAAAAATCTAGATTATCTGTCCTGTTAAGGCTGGGAACTTGACTGCTTCTGAATTCCCACAGCAGCTTGTGTGTTTTTCACGGCGTTGATCTGCTCCTGCTTTGCATTTTCATCATCGGGGCAGGTGAAGTCTCCTCCTGCCCTATGCCTGAGCACAAAAGACTGTGCCCTAAGCCCCCAGCGGCATCTAGTGTAAGACTGTTCATTTTTGCTAAACTGGTGCTTAGTTAATCCTGGTGGAAAAAGGAAGTTACATCACTATTTAAAATTTGTCATGAAAGAATCGTACAGACTCTGCACTTAGCAACGTAACACCTGGCCCACCCTTACCGTTTCCACGGCGCCCAGCTGGAGCTCCGTGACGGCAGCGTACAGTTCTTTCTTTGAAAGCTGATTGCGGTGGTAAATATCACAGAGGAAATCTGCGCTCGGCTGTTGAGAATACTTCTCTAGCCGGTGGTCGATGCAAGATTTGACTGTCGGGGAAGAGAGAAAAGAAAGGACGTCAGTTGAAAATTAGGATGAGGAAAAGGACAAAAGGAAACCTAAGACCAGAGTCCTTTTTGATATCTCTAACGGGTCTTTTCAGGGACACTGAGAATTTGTAACATAAACTAATACTGCCTTCTTGTTAGGTCGGCCAGGATTGATCAAGGCCCACAGAGGAAGGCTTTGCAACCTTAATGTGCGTAGAAATCACCTGAGCATCTTCTTAAAACGCACATTGTGAATCAGGGGTTTGGGGTGGGCCTGGGAGTCTGCATTTCTAACCAGCTCCAGGTCACATTTGAGCAGCAAGAGCTCAGAGCTTGGAAGAGACCAACATGAAAGGCAGTGGGATTTGGGTTCACTTTCAGAATCAGAACTTGGACCCAGATATTACCAAACACAACACACATCACACACATGCCCAAGTACAGTGCCCATGCATGTTGACAATAATAGTAAAAATTTCTTAATGTAAATAAATTCTAGGCATGTGTCTCCTTCCCTTCAATCTATCATTCAAGTAACCACCAGACTAATTATAATGTGGATAATGATAATGATGATCACATATGGTAATAGCAGTTAAAGTCTAAACGCTGGAACCCTTCTGGCTGACTTCAAAGCCTGGCTTTGCCATCACCTGGCATGCAATCTTGTGAGAGTTATTTGACGTCCACGTGTCTCAGGTGCCTCACCTGAGACTAATAGAAAGACCTCCCTTATAGGTTTGTTGTGAGAATTAAATGAGTATATGTGAAAACAATACTGAGTACCAAATATTCCCTGCAACCTGTAGCAGAAATAGCTCTGATCCATTGATGTATTGTGATATGCCAGGTTTCTATGTTACCTATATAAGACCTAGGTACAGTTGCACTGAGGTAGACACCATTATTATTATTATTATTAGCCCATTTTAGAGACAAAGCAACTGAGGACGAAAGCGTGACAGTGCATTTGGCCAAACTACCATAACCAGTAACAGAGCTCAACTTGAACCCAGGGGTCTCTGACTTCAAAGCTCTAGCTTTTAATCACTCTTAATTCCCAAAGAAGACTACACAAACCTGCCTCCTGCCTTTTATTATCAGAATTTGTCCACACCAGGGTGATCCCCAAATGCATGTGTTTGCAAAGCCTGAACGAATCAGGAGCAACTCCATGGAAGGAGCGAGGTGGTTAGGCCAAGATTGCTCCAGACCCCCTCTCTGCAGCTCCTGCACAGGGCTGCAGGGATGGTGTCGGCCGGATGTGAAGGGCAGCCCATTTACCTGATTTGAAAATGGTGTCCCAGGCCAGCGTGTGGGCCTGCCAGACCTTGGTGTTGAGGCTTTTGTGCAGCTCGACTGGAGTGACCATCATCTTCCCAAACGTGCTCATCATCTGAAAGATACACAAATGCTTTTCATTCTAAATTCTCTCTCAAAACCAACTTTCATTTTGGAGAGGAGCATTCCAACCCAGGGCACCCCACGCTTCTTGAAAGGCCAGAATCCCATGCACCCCCCAGCCCTCTCCGTAGTGGCCCCAGAAGTAATATGCCCACACCCCACTCCTGGTGAAATATTGAAGGCAATCTTTGGGATAATTTTCCACTGGATGTGTTCAATTAAAAAAATCTGATCTTATGACCTAATCATAAAAAAAAAAAGAAAAACAAACTTTCATATTCACTTAAATTTCGAATAATTTCCAAACTTCAGTCATTCCCAAATCAATTTCATAGTGTCTACTGTATCCACATACCACCTAAAATATTCAAAAATGTAAATTCTGAAAACTTTTAGGCTCTTTTTAAAATGTATTTTTAATCAACTGACTACTTTTATTGACATACCTATTAAATATTTTAACCTTGCCTAAACACAGAAATATGGATTTAACATGCTTCTTTTTTTTTTTTTTTTTTTTTGAGACAGAGTCTCACTTTTGTTGTCCAGGCTAGAGTGAGTGCTGTGGCGTCAGCCTAGCTCACAGCAACCTCAAACTCCTGGGCTCCAGCGATCCTCCTGCCTCAGCCTCCCGAGTAGCTGGGACTACAGGCATGCGCCACCATGCCCGGCTAATTTTTTGTATATATATACTTTTAGTTGGTCAATTAATTTCTTTCTATTTTTAGTAGAGATGGGGTCTCGCTCAGGCTGGTTTAGAACTCCTGACCTCGAGCAATCCGCCCGCCTCGGCCTCCCAGAGTGCTAGGATTACAGGCGTGAGCCACCGCGCCTGGCCTAACATGCTTCTTAATGATATGTGCATATATGCACATAAATACACTAAAATAGGTAATGCAGATTAAAGTGAACACTTAACTGCTGAAATAACGTGTGCGTGCATGCTGGTCTTTGGGGAACGCCGTGCAGTTCTGCAAAGATCAATCTGTAAAATGCCAGGAAAGGGGTGCTTACTGTTTTGATGGCCATGATGAAGTTCAGGGCTTCATCCCCTGCATTCTTCTGAAGGAGCCCAAATCTCTTCTCATATAACACAAGGCAGATACCTGTTATTTAAAATAATTATCACTGTTACACACAATACAGCAACGTGGAGTCTGTGATTAGCTGGCTATTAAAGACTCGATTCTGTGTCTCATAAAAGCATGGGGTTTTCTAAGGAAAAAACAGAAGTCCGAGAACAGAGGAAAGGCAAAGAGTCGGAGACAAAAAGGCAGGATCAGTCTCCTCTCTTCCTAGAAATTATCTCCACGTCCAATGACCCATCCCCTTAGAACGTGCTGGTAGGAAATGCACTGTCCTTAATCATGTCAGTGACATGGAATATCCAGTCGCTGTAGCAAACGTGCTGTTGGGTCGGGGTGTGCTACGCCTTTAACCCAGCTGTGTGGCTGGAGTCTCTTGGTGGATTCTGTTACCTTCCAAGACCAACAGGAAGCATTCATGAGAGGAAGAGACAGGAAGGGAATGATTATGTACTAAGCACTATATGCCAGGTACCGGGCTAGCAGTTTATAGATGCTCCCTCCCCCACCCCCACCGCCTCTGCACCTATTTCATTTTATTTAGACCCAACCTCTTTAAGAGTAAAATTCTCAACTCTTAATTTTGAAGTGTTTTACCTACAGCAAAGCTGAAAGAACAGTGTAATAAATACCTGTATCTTCTGGACTCAGATGCACCAATCATCGACGTTTTGCTGCAATGATTTTTTCTTTGTGTATGTACATCTAAATGTCTGTGTGTCTGTGTATGCTGAACCATTTGAAAATAATTTTCAACCCTCGTGACACTTCATCATTAAATACTTTAGCAGAAATCTCCTAAGAATAAAGACACCCTCCCATATAACCACAGTGTCATTAACATCTCCAAGAACCTTAGCAACTGTCCACAATACAACTATTATGTGCCCATTTAAATATTTCCCTCATGTCCTAAAAATTATCTTCTATGACTGTTTTCTTTCACGATCCAGGATCACTGCAACCACTTTTTGATAGGTGGATAATTAGCTCTCGATTTATAAACTAGGACACTGGGCCTAAGAGGGTAAACGCCTGGCCTACCATCATAAAGCTGAGCGGGAGAGTCAACAAGCTTCGTCAGTGCAATTCCACAGCTTTCTGACTACACTCGTATGTTCCAAACTCCACTCAGCCCCACCAAGCCCGGCTTAGGCGGCCCTCTCCAAGTCTCCCACAACCCTGAACTGTTCTGGTCATGCACTCAGTCACCTGGCTGCAATGGCCCGTGTCCCCCCAGGCAGCGAGCTCATGAAGGCAGAGCTCTCTCTGCCGGTTATTCCCACAACGATCCCTGGAGAAAGTGATCGTGCCCTCCTCTGCTCAGAGCCCTCCCCGGCTCCTCCCTGTCTGAATCAGACTAAAAGTGCAAGTTCTCGCCCGGCCCTCTGCCTGATCTGGTGCCTGCCTCCTTTCTGACCTTGTCTTCCTACACACATACCCCTCCCTTCCCCTTGCCCCTCGGGGTCTGCTCACGGCAGCATCCTAGCACTTCCGCAGATGCACCCGCATTCATGCTTCCACCCCAGGGCATTTGCACTTCCTGTCTCCACTGCCTGGGACAGTCTCCACACATCGCCTTCTGACTTGCTCCTTCCCGTTCTTTACCTCTGATGACTCCTTAGCAAAGACAACTTGCCTCCTCGAGGCACCTCTTTCATATTCCTTCTTGACTCTCTTACTTTTCCTTTACTCCTTGGCAGAGCATACGAGGTCCATCCAGAAAGTATCCAGCCATGTGATATGAAAAATGGAGACAGTTATGACTGAAAATGAAATTCCAGACAGATCTCTCGTATTTTACAATGCGTTTACTTGTCACCCCGTCTAGAATCCAAGCTCCACCAGGGCTGAGATATTACTTGTTTTGTTCACTGTAGTGGACCTGGCACCTAGCACAATGCCTGACCACAGAGCAGGTATTCAATAAATGTTTGCTAGATGGCTTCAGGCACAGCCCATAGTGCAAGGCATAACGTGAGCGCCCAAAAGAAGCATGAAAAGGGCTGCTATGGGCTTTCTCTAGTCCTACAGCCAGCAGTAGTGTATGTTTTCAGAACGGTTACCGACAGAGCCAGGTGTCAGCCTCAGAATCACCTGCAAAATCAGACACCCAAGGCAGGGAAGACAACTTACTTTCAAATGACCATTTGTTCAGTTCGCTGTACAAGTCTTCCATGCGGCCCCTTTCATCACAGAGCTCATCCATTCTAACCATAAAATCAGCCAAGACCTTAGAAGAAAGCAACCACAAAAGACACATTTTAAAGTCATTGAAGGAAAACGAAAGTTTAAAGTTCAGCAAGCTAACTTAGGGTTTCGTTACATTGTGTATCCACTGCCCATACTGCTATTCGTGCTGGAGTGACGCTAATTACATATTCTCCCTGGGAACCCCCCTCATCCACTAACAACCTTGTCCTGGGTTATTTCCTGAAGCCACCCTGCAGCTGAAGTTTCAGCTTTTGATCTAAAAATGATTCTGGCAATTTAAGAAAAGGAAAACATTTCTTCTAATCAGAATGGGGCAATAAACCACGAAGGAAAGATCAGCCAAGTGTCCCTGTTGGCACAACCTCTCCGGGACTGTGATGCTGCCATTACCCTGAAGTGTGCACGTCCATGTCTGGACAAGCAGACGGTTGGTGGTTGTGTTTAGCATGTCCAACTTGGAGCCAGGAGATCTGCAAATTGTGGGCACAGCTCCTTCCCTAAATGGTCAATGACCTTGGGAAAGTCACATAAGGCAGTTTGGATGCCAGTTTCAAAAACCAGGGCTTTTGATGATGAATGCCTCATACTGAATGAGGTTTGTATAGCGCCAAGCACCGTACAAAGTTTATTAGCTGATCCTCACGGCCACGCCATGGGGTAGTAGGTGCTGTCATTACTCCCATTTCCTATATAACAGATGAAACAATTGAGGCTTAAAGAGGCTAAGTCACTCACCCATGGACACATAGCTGATAAATTGACTCAAGGTATTATTGCGTGATCATAAAGCCTGCATATGTAATCAATAAGCCTGTTTAGTTTACCCACATAGTGTATTAAAAGTACTTTGAATTTGTTACCGTTAAAAAAAAAAACCAAGAGGTTTCACATTAACACATGGATTTCCCACTATGCATCAAAAAAAGTAAAAAACAATTACAAGATGTGGTGACGCTGGGTCTGAATGCCCACGTGGCAGTAATTTGCTGCAGCTGGGGCAGCTGTCCCCTCTAGGAGGGCCCACACTCCCTTGTTTGCTAAAATCTTCACGAGGCCTGCCTTATTCTCCTATGTTAGCGGCTTGGCCCCTGGAATCTTCTGAGTTTGCAATCCCTCACCTATGCAATCCCAGCTGGGTCCAAGTCCAGTTCAAAATAAACATCCAAAGTGAACAGGAGTGAAAAGAGATTACTATATGCTGCAACACCCTCTGACCCCCGTTGGCTAAAGGATAATGTCCACATACTTCAGTATGGTACAAAAACGTTGCTAAGACCTGCCCCCTGGCCAGGGTCATTTCAAAGAAGGCCTCACTTCAGCTGCATTGGCTATCCCATTCCCTGAACACACCATGTCCGTTTCATGCCTCCATACTTTCAGCATGCTATCTCTCTGCCTGAATGCCTTCCCCCACCTTCTTTGCTTTGTAAACTTCTGCTCATCCTGCAAAGCCCAGCTCCAATGTTACTACCTAAGAACTTTACAAGCATTATCTTATTATAATTCTCACAAGGGTGGGAACTGCTACTCCCATTTCGTAGATTGGGAAACTGAGGCTTAGAAAGTTAAGTGGTATATCCAGCTCTCATAGCTAGTGGGTGGAGTGGCTAGGGCTCAAATCTAAGACTGTAGGATACCAAAGGCTGTGCTTCTCACTGTTACCTTATTGCGATAGTACTTTAAAAGAGGCTGAAAGATTGAGAAATAAGGGTTTTTGGGGAGAAGAGGTCGTAGGGAGGAATGGAGAGAAAGAGAAGACCCTTGAATCATCCAAATTGCATTCTTTTCCCTCTGCACTTCATAGCTATGACTAGAAGCTCCATTAATATCCCTCTATCCTTAGAAGCCCCGGAAAAGCTGGCCCCAGCCTGCAAACCTCATTGATTTTGTTGTCCAGCTTCATAATTTCCACCGGTTTCATTAGTTTCTTTTGAAAGGCACTCCGGACCCTCTGCCAGTCTTCACCTTCCCTGGGAGAGGAGCAGGAGTATATTTAGAGCAAAACAAAAAAAGAAGGAAGATGCAGAAATAGTTCCAGCTGCAACTTCATGGACTATGCAAGCAAACACTGAGCATCATGCCAAGAAATATGCAGAAAATATTAACATTAGAATATTTCAGATGAAATAATGACAATATTTTGATAGTAGTTTGACAACAGAACAAAAAAAAGCACCTTTCCTCCCAGCCAAAGTTTGCACCAGGAAGTTGGAGCTTAGATAATTTGGGTTCAGGGATTTTGAGATGCCCTTGTAAGGGGAGGGCTGGGAGGCCAGAGGCCCCAGTTCCCAGCAAAGAGAACGGGCATGGGAACACCGCTTCTCCAGCAACTCAGATTTGTTTAAATAAAAACCTTGTCTTCTTTAAACTCATTGGCTTGGGCCTCACACTCACAAAACAACCCAAATTTGGAATGTTACCACTACCTCCAAATAATAACACACAGTCATAGATGCGCAGGAGTTATAAAAAGCTTATAGCCATCACGCAACTTTCTGCATTTGCCCATAGCTGTGATGCATCACTGTGCATTGATATGGTTTTTTTTTTTAATTCTAGTAATTCTACCCTGGAAGGTATTAATACAACTATTAGGCATTACAATTTGAGGGCTTAAAAAAAAAGCGCTTACTTGATAAATGCTAACAATGAAAAGGCAGAGGAATCACACCACGCTATAGCATTTATAAAATGCAACCCTGACATCCCTCCTCGTCCCACCTTTGCAAATAGCAATTAGAAGTCATAATTCCCAAATCCTCTTTGACAGTGACAGGAAGGTCACTGTCAAAAGCAAAATAAGTTAATTTCAGGCTTTTGAGCTTAAAAGAATTTTAAGCAATGGTTTTGTTTGTGTAGGACGTTTGCCTGGCGCACTGACGTTGGAATCTTGTCCTGCCCCGGTGTCTGAACACCACAATCTGCATAACCCAGTTTTGGCCTTTCTGTGATGGAAGGGCGTGGCCCTCCCAGTTGCCAGAGAGAACGCAGGCGTCGGGTGCGCAGGGCGGCTTTCCCCTGGATCCACCAGTCAGTGCCAGAGCCCAGACTGCACCTGCACCCAGTAGGGGCTTTGGTTGCCGCCCTAAGAAGCGTCCTGCTCCGGGAAGCTCTAATTCCCGCCCTTCTCCGTTTCCCCAGGCGCATCAGGCGCTTGCGGCCTGCCCGTCCCTCCGAGCGGGCGAGCGGACTCACAGGATGAGCAGCCCGTAGCCTTCTTCGCGGTGGTCGCGGTAGGCCTTCCACGGCTTGATCTCCAGCCGCTGGGGGTACGCGCTCTCGGTGCGGTACAGCGCCTCCAGCAGGCACGGCGAGCCCAGGTGCACCGAGTCGAAGGAACCCAGTTTCATGCGGAAAATCTTGCCGTACCTCTTGTGGTACTCGGCCTGCGGCGGGCGGGCGCGGCGCGGAGTCAGCGCGCATCGCGGGGTGTCCCAGGAGCGCTTCTCCCGCCTGCCGCCTGCCGCCTCCCTTCTCCTCCAGGCCCCGGGGACCCAGGTGTGGCCGGATCACCCGAGCGCCGGGTGCGCCCGGGGCCGCGCGCCTCGGAGAGGGTTTGGAGCGCCACTGGGGGGCAGGACAGGGAGGAGAGAGGGAATTGAGGCGCAACGGGATACTTACCAGGGTGTCGTGTTGTTTCTTGAGCCCCCCTTTCCAGAGGATTTCCAGCAGGCTGCCCAGCAGCGGCCAGTTGGTGGGGCCGGGCAGGGCCGCCGCGCTCTGCGTCTCGCCAGGTGCCATCACCGGGCAGAGGGGCACCTCCCGCGGCCGAGGGGGTGCGCACGCCTTAGAAGTCACCGGTCGCGGCGGCTGCCCCAGATTGCGCAGCTGCTGCAGGAAGGCAGCGAGGGCGCGGCTCTTGCTGATGGGGGAACTCATGGCAGCGCTGGGGGCCCGGCGCGAGGGGTGGCGCAGGGACTGGGCAGGGCAAGGTTGGTTGGCAAGAGGTACTGGCGGGATTTGGGGGCTTGATGATTCTGGGAAAGAGGCAAAGAGGACCCGCAGGTGTGATAGAAGGGGCCGAGGAGGGGCGGGGAGCAGAAAGGACCTCGGCGAGGATGCTCCACGCGGCACCGTGCGGCAGCCTCCGGGAGCGGGTGCCCGCCTTGCGCTGGCCGCAGGGGCTGGAGGACTGTGGCCGTGGGCTTTGGGTGTCTTTTGGAAGAAGGCTGTGAGTCCGCCTGTTGGTCTGCGGTCTGACTTCTAGGGTCGGGAGCAGCGGGGTGAGGTGTCACGGAGGGTAGAAGAGATGCTGCTGGTGCCGTGGTTTCCTCCTGTCCCTCTCCATGCCGTATTCCCGGGGACCATGCATTTATGGAGACAGGGCAGGCCCCGGGTGGCCAATGAGCGCGCAGTGTAGGGCGGAGTGGCCCCCGGCTGGCCAGGCCCCGAGGGACGCGGGACCCGGGGGAGGAGGTGGAAGGAGGATGGAGTCAGCGAGGTGAGCGAGGGCACCTGGGCCTCGGGTGACCGGTGCACTGCGGACTCCACCCCGGAGATAACCCCCCGGGAAGCCAGGCCGAGCCGGGAGTTCAGCGGGTGTGCGCCCTGCGCCTCCCCGCCCTCCCCTGGAGTTCAGCGGGTGTGCGCCCTGCGCCTCCCCGCCCTCCCATAGCGGGCAGGAGCGGCAGCGGCCGCCGGTGCAGCCCGGCGCTTGCACAACCGCGCTGCCGGGCGGGCGAGGTCTCCGAGTGCGCGCCCGGGAAGGCTGCAGGCTCCTGCCTGGGCCGGGACAGCCCGCGCACCTCCCGAGGAGCCGGGTTTTCCCAGCCTGCACTGAACTTTCTTGGAGGAAGTTTGGCTTTCTGCGCCTCCCAGGCAGGGTGGGGAGGATTTGAATCTTACTGAAATTGCACCAAAAGAGGGGACCCTTGAGTTTTAACTTGAGCAAGAAGAGCCAATTGGGTTTGTAGAATTTCTTTCCTGCTGCTTCATTTTGGGTTGTTATGAAGATTATATGAATTAATGCAAGTAAAGCGCCTACAGCAGAGCCTTGTTCATAGTCAACTGTCAGTAGAGCCTAGTTACTGCTGCTGTGGCCTCTTTGGGAGTTAGGAAAGGCGCCTGAGAGCGCAGCTTGTGTGGCAGCGCTTAAATTCAAGCCGCCCCCCCCCCCCCCTGTGTCCGCCAGCCCTTCCCTCTTCTTGTGCGTCCACCACCTTGTGCAAAGGATGGGCACAGCCGCTCCAAACCTTGGCTCCCCACCCACCCACCCCTGCAAAGTCCGAACACACACAATTTCTAGAGTCCCGACTGATGGCGAGAGTAGAAATCACTTTCCTAATTCAGGAAGGGAAGTTGGAGATTTTTTTGTTGATTGTTTAAAAGTGGCTCATATCCTTTCGTTCTGCTCCAACACAAAACTATCACCAGCCAGGGAGGATGCTTTCCAGTCACCTGACTGGGTGATTTTGACTCTAGTATTGGCAAATCCTTCCCTGATAATTTTCTTGTGAACTTGAAGTTTGCTTCCTGAAAACCTTTTGCAGTACAACTCAACGGTGAACACTGTCATTTCAGATTTGTCTTGAGAGGTTAATGACTGTTTCTGTTAATAAAAATAATACTACTGATATGTATTATGGTTTAAGTATAGTATATTGTATGTATTTACCTATATACTATATAGTTTATATGATCTAGCATATACTATTGATTATACTGTATGTAGATATGTTATATAATATACAAATGAAAGCTTTCTAGGCCTTATTATGATAAGCCAGGCGCTGAGCTGAACATTTTACACCAATTTTCTCACTTAGTTCTCATCTCAACCCAATGCCAAAAATCGTTAATGAAAAACATGCAAAAACAAAAAAGAAAAGAAAGAAAAACCTGCAAAAACAAACTTTAAAACCCCCTGATACTTAAAGAGTTGAATAATTTGCCCAATGTCACAGACTCTACCATTGGCTCAGGTGGGATTCAGACCCTCATACTTTCTGATTCTAGCCCAGGCCCTTAATATATATATATATATATTTACCCATATATAGCATGCTATGTTATGCCGCCATTTCTTAAACAAGAGTATTTTAGAATATTGGAAGTATTCTTTAAATGGGGATTTCTTTAGGAGGAAAGTGGGTGAGATCGGAATGTCTATCACAGTGGTCCGTGTGGGACAGTGTGACGCACATGCTTTATGTGCTGACGCTGTGAGAAAGAACAGCCCCAAAGAGAAGACGCATTGAGTTCACTACTGTGTACTTCTGGTCTGGTGCTTGGACACCATGAATGGTCTTATTGTTATTTCAGCTATTGAGTTATTTTCCTTTTCTTTCCCTCTCAGCAGGTGTGCTCAAGAGGAAGGGGAAATCATTTCAGATTTGCTAGGTTTTCCTATGAATTTAGTGCTATATTGCTTTCTGTGCTCTAAAGTACATGAGACTGTTAGTCACATATATAGCCAGAAAGAAAATTCCTGTCTCAGGGAAGTTGGTTTCTCGTGTTCAGTGGAGAAAGTCTCCAATAATTTTGATATTGGGCTGCAGAGGAAAGCAAGGCTAGTTCTTTGGAACTTCTTCTACTCCAACATGTACCCATCGAGGCAAGTGCAGTCAAATTCAAGGACTGTTTTGAGTCCACTCCCTGAAACTCACCGTTCCTCACTTGGCTTCATCCCTCACTCACTCACTACTTAGCCTCCCTGAGTCATCTGGATGGGGATCCTGTCGGGAATTACTAATGAGAGATCTGGAAGGGCCTTGTAACTGCTGCCATCATTACTGAGACGAACCCGGGCCCTCTGTTTTGTTCCAGGAAATCTTACCAAGTCCTGGAATGGATAATTATACTCCAGCTCTCACACTAAGCGACCACAGATGACAACGTGTGTGTTTTGTGTGTGCGTGTACACACATGTGTAATGCGGATGGGGTGGAAGAGTCTATAGTCGGGCAAGACCTCATTTCTCTCTACTGGAAAATAAAAACCTTTCAAATGCATGGAATGATGATAGAGTTTTGTGCTTAAAACTTTGGTAAACTGAGGTGTGAGTTCTAGGTACACTTTCTGACTATGGCAACTTGGAGGACTTTCTTTCCATACCTGTTGAATGGGAAGTCTTGGAACTAAAATGAAGCCTCATGGAAACAGGAATAGTGACAATAGCCAATTTCATGGGGTCGCTCTGAGAATAATGACAATAAGTTCCTCGCATGGTAAAATGCCCAGTACATGTTATCTCTTAGCATTACTGTATTGCATGCCTCGGTTTTTTGCAAAGTACATTGAAGAGAGGCAATTTAGATGTCTTAATTATACTTGATGTTCAACTTAATCGTTGTAATTTTGACTCAGGAAACTGTGTAATTGACTAAGGCCAAGGGGAGATTAGCAAAGTGCCAGTGGGTTCCTGAGCAGCCTGATAGACCAGGGACAATTTACTTATCTCTCTAAGCCTCAGTTACCTCATCTAGACGGTGATAATGGGAGTCCCATCCATAGGGTTTTTCTGAGGATGACAAAGCCCTGAAAGTCCCTGGCATCAGTGCTTACTGTTAATATTATTATGTGCTACAGTGGGGATTAGATTCTCAAATAATTAAGGTCGCAATCTATTGCGTTGGTCTTGGGGTTCTCTGTCCAATTAGACAAATCTTGGGATTATAGACATTATGTTTTTTGTCTTTGTTTTTGTTTCTCCTGGAAAAAATGACACAGTGCTGTTTACATTGGCCAGCACCCAATAAGCAAATAATAGGCAATTGATTATTGATTATTTCCTCATTCCCAAGTGAATAGTGGAAGATCACTATCAACATATTCTTTGTTTTCTGAGGAAATTGTTGGTGAATCCTGGAGGGCTTTATTTGTGAGTCACGTGGAGAGCAGTTCTGTATGTCAAAAATAGTAGTTTTGGTCTCAACAGCTTGGGTTGAAACTATTGCTACACCACTGACTAGCTATGTGGCCTTGGGGAGTTACTGAACTTCTCTGAGTCTAGTTTCCTTATTGGTAAAATTGTGGGTTACAAGATCCATGTCTCAGGAAGGCCAAGATGAATACTTGAAATATTAGGTGAAACACAACCATCGTCATCACAAAAATCTGTTTGGCTTCTGTAATTGCTTGATGATTTCTGAGTTGAATTCAGTGATGTTGGTAAATTAAAGTTATATTACAGGTATGGAAAAGTGTACCTTAAATCCTCCAAAGTGCAGTTACGTGGGGAGAACTTTGGAATGGATTCTTCATCAAAAGAGCTACTGCATTTCAAAGGAGATGGAAAATATAGTGTGTACACTCAAGTTTTACCATCACTACAAATTGTAATTTATTAAGGAACTACTATGTCTATGTCAGGTATTTTATTATCACTACCCACACAACAATTCTGTGAGGCTAATATTATTATTTCCCATTTTACAATGACAAAGCCTCGGTTTCTTGCAGAGTTTACACCAGACCTGGGTTGTACCTACCCTGCTACACGTTATAACTAACCAAGTTAGTTCACCTTGCCCTCATCTATAAAATGGTAATAATAATAATAATAGCGGATCTTATATATCATTATAGTATTATAGTTATAATAATATCATATAGTCATGGTCTCATAACTTAAGTTTTAGCTTGCTGTGAGATGGCCACTCCTTGTGGGCAGGAAGACTGTCTTGTTCTCTGCTATATTCCTAGTACCTGTAACTATGTCTGGATCAGTCTAGGTGCTCAGTAAATATTTTTCAAATAACATATTGCAAAAATAACAAAGATTAAGTGCCTTAATTGTTATAGCTGTCCTTGTTCAACTGATTCTATAATTCTAATAAAACATAAGTCTTGGTAAAAGATGTGTCTGATTACAAAATTTATATGTAAAGAAACATTTGTTTTGCTTTTTCAGTTTTGAAAATGTTTAGGAAAATAGAGCTTTGTGTGCACTCTTTAAAATAACAGATTATCTGGCCTGAGCAAAAGTGAGACTCTGTCTCTACTAAAAATAGAAAAGTGAGCCGGACATAGTGGTGCACACCTTGGGAGGCTGAGGCAGGAGGATCGCTTGACTCCAGGAGTTTGAGGTTGCAGTGAGCTATAATGAAGCCATGGAACTCTAGCTGGGTTGACAGAGTGAGACTCTGTCTCAAATAAAAAAAAGGGATATCTCTACATGGAACTAGAGAATCCATTAAATGAATTAATAAATGTAAGATATTTTGAACAGTATTTGTTACTTGATAAAGGCTTGGTTTTAGCTGTTATTATTTAAGATAATTTGGGGAGATATAGATATAACTTATCTTATTTAGATTGAAGCCAGTTAATGAAAAACTCCATTGATTTTTAAACATTCCATTGGCACTATATATATTTCATAATTAATTTATAAAATTACATCATCACCTTAGCACTTTGGGAGGCCAAGGCGGGTAGATCGTTTGAACTCAGGAGTTTGAGACCAGCCTGAGAAAGAGCGAGACTCCATCTCTAATAAAAATAGAAAGAAATTAGCTGGACAACTAAAAATATATATGTAAAAAATTAGCTGGGCATGGTGGCACATGCCTGTAGTCC